TTCCCTCCCAGCTTCAAATCAGCCCCCAAGCCAGCTTGTTGCAGCTTCCTACTCATACCAGCCTGTCTCCTTCTGGTCAGCTTGTTACATTCAACTCCATCCACTGCTAGAAGCTCAGTCTCTTCTTTTTGGTTTCCTCTAGCCCAGCATTTGTCTCTCCTCATACAAATCAGACAGTTCCCTCTTCCATTCCATCGTGGTGTCTATGAGGGGGAGGCAAGCTGGAGTTTGGCAGAGAACATGAGAATCAAGGCTGCCTGCTTTCCATCCTAACCCTAGCTGAGGGCAGCTGAAGTCAATCCTTTATAAGGCAGGTCCTTTAGAGCCCCTACAGCTTGCAGCAGCATGCGATTGCTAAGTATAGCTGCAGTCAAGGCATACACATCCTAAGAAGAAGGGAGACTTTTCACAGTAGTATATCGGGTATATTTAGTGGCTGAAATTGGCATCTGTACTGAACCACTTACTTTCTAGAAACAGCAAAAAGTGCCCTTATCTCTTCTTAGAACAGCTGTCCTTCCCCAAGTTCTCAAATACTGGGCCTTGAGGACCGAAGTATTAAAAAATCACCAAAAGGTGTTATTGTGGACAAACGTACTTTCCTCAAGCCTCTTTGCTGAAAACATTGCAGCCGTTTTGGCTGAACTCTTTAAAATCATCCATCTGGGCAGTAACTGCTGAGGGTATAAATCAAGCTAAATGGTTAACTTTCGGCTATGTTCTAATTAGTAGAGAACAAGGTCTTACAATGGAAAGAATCAGGGAATAAGTGACTGTAACTGCTTACAGCTCAGTAACAAATGGGCTAACAAAAGAAAGTACTGTGAGAAGAATAGGAATAATGTGTAAACCCAATCAGGTTTTATCGCTTCCCAGAGTTTCCCCCTAACCCCAAAATAAGCTCTTTCTGCTGCCTTTCTCAGGTGTTATTGAGTACCTGGGAAACAAACAAAGGAAGAATGAAAACACTGACTATGCTGAACAATCTCACGCAACAGTGCGCTGCAGGTTAAGGGGAACAGCTGGAGCAGAGTGACAGGCTGATGGGAACAGTCAGTCATTTTGTTGTTCAGACTGCAAGGCACTACAGAATTCCAACAGATCAAAATGTAAAGAGACAGTAGCACCTATGGGGTATATAGACACCATGTTTACAAAAAACCCCTTACCTCTCAGGCACGGCCAGCTGCATAACCTTAAGGCACTATATTTGCCTGTGGTTGAACTGCTCTAGAGCTTGCAAACCAAATTTCAACCCTCCTTGCAGAGAAGTGAGCCCTATAACACTGTCCTGAATTCACTGATGCTTGCTCGTTTGGCTCCTGAAAATCTCAGGTAATAGGCTAGTAGGATAAGGGAATAGGGATTCACTTGTACCTTCACAGACCTAGTAACGGGGAACAAAAAGCCATGGTTTATATAGTCCAGGTAATTTGTAGAGTAAGTTTTCTTCTTAGCAATTCAATTACTAATTAAAAAATGGTCAAGTGGGCACAGGAAAAGAAAACAACCAACCAAACCAAAAGCTCCCTTCTCTGTAGAGTTAACTAAGCAAGTAAAAGCTGCCTAGAGCACCAAGTTACTACTGAAATTGCTTGACTGAAGTCAGCCAGCCAGCCAGCCTTTAAACCCAGCTGATGGATCCTGATTGATCCAGCTGCCTCCTAGAGCTTCTTTCTGAACTGGAGGATGCTGGTACAGGAACTTGAATTTATGTTCTGGTAAGGAAGCTACTGAGCTGCTAATGTCTTCATAGGCCTGACATTTCTTGTCATAGGCAACAAAAACTCAGTGAGAGCACAGGTGGTCTCCTTTACGGAGAACCCTACCCACCATCCTTTTTTCTGTGTCCTTGCAAAGAAGGTTCTGTGTTAAAAAGGTTCCTGGCCTGATCCCGATGACAGCTTTTTTTTTTCCAAATAGTCAAGTGGACAAGCGTCCTGTGTCAGACAATCTCTTCATTGTAAAAAGGCATATAATTTACAGAGGAAGCTACCTCCAAATTTGTGGAATCACAGTCAGCTTTGTAAGCCTTCACAGTGTCTGCACAAGAGCAATTTCAGATCTTCAGGGCATCCAAGATGCTTAGACCCATGTCCCCACACATGATGAACCTGAAGCGGCTTTGTGACAGAGCAGCCAAAAAGGTTTCCTCCAACTTGGGCTTTTCTGATCGTTAACTCCATTGTGCTGTTTCACTCTCATTTCAGCTAACCAGGAATTTTAGGTAAGCTGACTAATTTTGCCTGGATTTGTCTGGATTTGGCAGATGTCTGTAGGCAGCAGACCTACTAGGCAGGTAGTTTAGGCAGAGAGCTGGAGGGAGGAGGAGTTATACTGCTTAAGGCCACTTCCATTAGGTTTATCTGCCTTCAGCCCTTAGTGTTCGAGTGGAGGTTGCCCAATTGCCTGTGTTGTCTATCAAAGGCGGCCTTCACTTTGCTTTAAGCACAGACTTTGCTTTTGGTTTAGACAGCAAGAATGCTTTAGAGCCACAGTGAAGGCTCCCTCGGTGGGTTAACATCTGGCTAGGGTGCCCAGAGGGTAGCAGGCAGGCAGCTGTGTGGTGAAGGAGAACACGTGTTCATGGCCACTGACAGAGGCTGCTCAGTCATATTAGTGCAGACACGACCACAGACTTCTTGGGGACTGCACATATAATCAGGCATAATGTGTGCTTTATTTTTACACCAAAACTTTTTATATGAGGCTGGGTAGGAAAGTAAACAGTCTATGTGACTTAAAATGGACTCAGATGATCTGAAATTTGGTCCTGAAAACTGGAATTTCTATATGCAGAGAAGAACACTACAGCATCAGAGCTTATTTTCATGCCGGTAGTACTGTAATAATAACCCTTCAGATTTCTGTTGATTGCATCGTTCTCCAAAAATTATCTTTTGTGGATGAAATTTCTCTTGCTTGATCTCAGACAGAAAGTGAACAGTAAAAATCTGTTCAGTCATTTTTATGTCATCAGTGAATCATCAAAACTAATGCCGACTTTGCAGCATGTTACATGCGTATGTCCGTGAGGAATTTACCAGGACAATATATCTCTTATACTCCAGTTATTTCATTGACTTTATTTTATAGGAAATAAAATCAGGTGAAGTAGTAATGGTTCACTGACTATAATTGACCAAAGCCCCACAATAAAACAAAGCCAGACTCCCAAAGCATTGAAATTATCTCATTTATCTTAAGGAAAAAAAAGTAAAAAGCACAAAAAGCATTTTGGTCAAATTTGATGTTACAAAACATTTTCATATTTATTTAATTTCATGTTCTCCTACTCTGTAGTTATACTGTATAATTTCTGAAAAAATAATATGCAAACAGATTATTGCATAACACATCTCTTCCAAATTAGCCCAGAAATAGTCACTAAATTAATTTTTTAACACAATAAGAAAAGTGTTTTAATATTTTATGTTTAAATTCCAGAGAGTTTTATCACATAAGATATTCTGTGGAAAGCAGCACCTATTTACTTCTTTGTAAGCCATTATGAAGATGGAACTAGCCTCTCAGACAAAATAACAGAGGTGATTAAAACACAAGCTGAATAAAGAAGCTCACCGAGTGGGTTCTTGCAGGGTGAGTATTTCACTTGGCTGTGTGTGTGGAATATTTTGCATAACGGTCTACAGACCTCCTAGGATTTTGCAATTACAGAATATACCTATATATAGTGCTGAGACACAGAGAAGTGGTATTTCACATTATGTCTATGCTTGTTTAGGGCTCACTGTCTATGTGGAATGAGTAAAAGTAATATTAAAGGAAAATAATTATTAAACAGAAAATATTTCATTATGCAAACAAAGAAAAATACTGTATTTTAGTTTAGAGACAGTTCAAGCATATACAGCATATACATAATAAAGCTCAGGCGTTTCTTTTTTCGTATTAGCTAAAGAAGCAGTCATGAAACTGTTGTATATTGGCTTAAAACTTGACAACCACCTAGTGCATTCTTCTTGCTCACCTTTTAAAAAGACACAATCTGAGATGGATACATTGCACTGCTAGAGTTTACAATATATATTTCAAATTTACAAAAATACAGAAAAACAAGATTTCTTGCACTCAGATACTGAGCATTAACCCTTTGAGTACTAATTCCCACCTGCAACACTGCAGAACACATTCATCTGACTTACATGTTTTTATAACATTCTAACAATTATAATTGTCACCTTTATGTACACTGTTAGGAAATGTATTCCTACATATTAAAAAAAAAGGTAGAGACTAATAAACTGCTAATAACAGAAAAATAATGGGTTGAAGTATGTGATGATTTCTGCAACATATACACAGAGAATTGCAGACTGATCGTCTATCAAGGGAATTTTCTATTTCCTCTCTGCAGCAATGTAGCAATTACATAAGCCTGTGTTAAGACATGACAGCAAACTTTCTCATGTGGCCATACAGAGTTGTGCTTTTTCTCTTATTTATGGATGCCCGGCTCACTTGCCACTGTAGACGTTTTTCTCTCAGCTTTATGCTCCTATTCACTTTCTGCGATCCATTATTGTTCTGCACCCTTCCTGTTTGAAAAAAGTGGTTTTCTTTCATATAGGGATAATTATGATGCAGTTCTGTACTGTGAGTTGATCCTTTGTGTCCAGATGTTCATGGAAACATGAAAAAATTTCTTGCCAAGAGCCTTGTTAATAGAGAATGGTACTGACCCTGGAATGCCCTACAATTCAGCAGAAATCATGAACATAAAGAACTTCTCTGAAGGTCAAATTTGCATTAAAGGGTGAAGGCAATCTGAAATTTGCTAGGGGAGGAAATGGGTTTTCAGAAAGCAAGTGGTGAAATTAACAGATGGACCCTAAGAAGGTGTGATTTTGGAAAATGACTGAACTTTCGCTTTCCTGAAAACTTTGGACTACATCGATCATGTAACTAAATAGACAATATCATATATACAGTGTCTCTGAACTAGAATAAGCTATTTTAAGAAAATAACTGTAGTCCTCAAAGAGTTAATGATAAAACTGCTCTACCTTAACAGATGTGGAAAGGTTGTCGTGAAACAGCTTACAGGTTTGTTCAAAAGGCATACTTTACAAAGAAGTGTAAAACTTGTTGAGACAACTGCTATTACACCGCACAGTGTCACGTACAATGAGTAGTGCATGCTCTGTAAAGACATTAGAGTGGACCCTTATCAAAGCTATCATATAACCTTATACAAAGGATTGAGCCACTTAAACTAGTGCAGAGTGATTTTTTTTTCTGTAGATTTATAATGCTCTAGATTAATAATAGGGTTTTTCACAGCCTTGTACAACACTTTTTTTTGTTCTTTTTTTAACACATGTAACACTAGAAAACAGCAAATGGTATATCCTGACATATGTCATGCAAACTACAACCAATACAGCACCATAGGTGTAACAGAGACATTACCTAGCACTTCTCTCCAACAAGAAAAAGGACAGAACAGAGAGTGTACATTACACGACTTTACAGGCCATATGCTACAGAAGATCTTTAGAGGCAGTATCACTTTTGTAGATCTAAAAAGCTGTAATTTTATAAAATCCTGTTTATCATTTCTACCATAGTCACTTCTGATTAAAATCCATGGCACAGTAATAATATTTTGCTACAAAAATAAATAAGTAAAAGTTTAAGATGCTGATATGTTTATAAAAAGTGTCCGAAGTTACTACAGAACAAAAGTGAAAACAATGGATGAAAATGATGTATTTCTAAAGAAATGTTGTTCTGTGTAACAAAAGGATATTGCCTCTCATATTCAATTGTCTAGACTTCATTTTCTAATTATCTTTCAGAATAATTGTATAACTTTCTTTTAAAAATAACTTCACTTTAATACTGTCACTATCTCTCTTTTAGACTCTTACTAAGAAAATGGAAATAAAGATGGAAAAGCTGTACAATTTACTGATGAGCTACACAAATATGTCATCTTATTTAGTTTGGAATAAAAACAAAGATAACGATGGTTTAGGGGGAAAAAACACATTATGATGGCCCATGAACTACACAGTAGTTTCATTTTTCCAAGGGCCAGTTTTGATATTTCCTGTACTATCTGAGCTGTATATCATGGCTTCATGCACGTTTCCCTTGAGAATTCCGTTGTGATTCGTCGTGTTAAACGGCAATGACTGTGTCCGTGGGTGCATTTCAAAATGAGCTGGATGGTGCACAGTGTCACTTTCTGGCATTTTAGCACAACTATATATTACAGTACTTGCGTCGCTACTTTCAGGCTGGTTGACAGTAGGATATGGATCGCTTTTTGAGCAGCAGGCCCGTCTGTGACCTGACTGGCTATCATGCGTACTGTGGGGACTGTCTGTATGTGAGCTGTGGATGCTGCCATCGATACTTGAAGGAATGTGATAGGCGTATTCTCTTTCACCTGCAGACCTATGCCGACTGAAATAACGTGGCTTAGTTCTGCCTTTCAGACATCTATGAATGTGCATATTGGGTCTGAAGGTTCCCTCGTTGTGGACATGAATGTGAGCTTCATCATCAAGTAGCTGATCACAGTGCATTTTTGCACAACATGGTGTCACAGGCGAAAGGCAGTTAACATGATTTTGAACTGCTTGTAGGTTAGTAAGTTTGCAGTGGCTAGCTGCTGGATGATTAAACACAGCTGTTTTGTTGGGACATGGTGATTCCTGAAGACAAGGTGCATGAACTTGAGTGTCACCATTGACATTAACTTTTGGGCGCACATTAACTTGGACAGAATAGGTGTTTCTTCTAGATGGGCAACAGGACCACCAGCAATGCCACACATCATCTCTCTTTGCACAGTGATGGATCAGGATGAAAAGCCCCAAGGTCACACAAAAGGCTCCGTAAAGACAGCTAAATATCATGTCCAAGAAATGACCTTGAGATACTGCAAGTGCTCCAAAGGTCCAAGTGGCAGTAAACAGGAACAAAGTGAATGCTGCGGCTCGAAGCTGAGCCTTAAATGAATGCTCATTTTCCAATAAGGAAGAAGAAATCATGGAGCAGGTTGCCTGGGGAACGGACACAGAGTCTGTAATACGACCATGGCCCACCTCAGTACTTGGCATTCTCTGCGGATCTTCTGTCTTTTCCTTTAACTCATACTTGCGTTCAGGATGGCGCTTCAGTTGCACGTACGTGCAGAGAAAGTAAACACAGGTGACTAGCACAATGAATGCTACTGGCCCATAAAAAGCACCAAGACTAGGCTCCCATGCCATCCAGCAACTGAAAACGACAAAAAAAGAGAGTCAAGAACATTTTATAGCCCACATTAGATGTGATGGACAACTGACTGATGTGAAGCTGGGCTTTCTGACTAACTTGTGTGACCCAACAGCGTCTCAGAGGTTTGGATATGTTCATTGTGGAGAAAGGGAGCGTGCCTTTAATATCAATTAAGCTGAGGCATCACTTTCATATTTTTTAATAGAATAAAATGCCTAGTATAATTTACAGGATATTAAAGCTGAAAATTTCCAAGAAATGTAGGTCAGTTTAGAATCTAGAATTGCAGTGAAGTATAAGACCATTTATGTCAACCCTTTTTTCTACTATTAAAAATGTCAGTGCTAATACTTTGATTAAAAAGTAAATGAGGCATAGTTTATACAATCTGTGTGAGCAATAGAAATGTGCAGATTTCAACAGTTTGTATCAATGAACATGAAACTCTTAAGCCTAAAGATTGTTCTTACAGAATTTTCTTGTTGCCAAAGTAGAGAACAGCCTGAGTAAAAGAGAGGCTGAAAAAACACTTCCAGTTGAACAGTCATCGTTTTCTGCAGTGAGCAGACCCAAAAGATGTATGTCATTTCTGAATTCTTCACTGTTTCTGAAATTTCTGGGAGTTAATTTACATCAATTTGAATGTCCTCAGAAAAATTAAGGGAATTGATGGTCTCATTGTCATACACTGGTACCATAATATTGTTGTAGCATGGATCATTATTTGCTAGGCTTTAAGTAATAGAACCATAACTGTTTTAGAGCCCCTTGAAGTAGTTCACAGGCCAGTATGAGCTGAATAAGCCTCAGTCAGCTGCATAATTTAGTAGCAGTCTAACAGGACTGTCCTGAGGATGAATGATCTAATCAAATAAACATGGCAGAAGAAAACACTTCTGGCTAATGAAATCCCAGATGGAAACTGGGAGAACTTGGGTTGGGGGAGAATGACTATTTGCCTAGTTTTTACTCTTCTCTATGATCTGCTTTAGGCACGGTTACAGACAGGCTACTGAGCTGGTGGTATAAGCTAGTACAGTTGTTATTAGGTTCTTATATGCTACATATTGCATGGATTTCTGGAAAGAGGAATAAGTTACTTTCCTTATCTGTTGGACTAGGACAAGAAGTAATGGGCTTAAACTGCAGCAAGAAAGATTTAAATCAGATTTTCAAAAAGTTTCCTAGCTGTTAGGATAAGTAGGATAATAAGCTGTTGGAATAAAGTGTGGTGTATCCATTATCGGAGCATTTAAAGCACCTCAGATAAATAACTGTCAGGAATGGTTTGGAGACAGCTAATTTCCCACTGGGTCAGAAAGACAGACCAGGTGATCTGTCATGATCCATTTCAGCTCTAAAAGTGACACTGTGTGACACTTCATACTCATTTAGGCGTGTGTGATTGGTTGCAATCCCTCCAGTACAGCGAGGAACCTTCTGATATCACATTATTGTCAAGCCAGGAATCATCTACCACTTACTATAAAAAGGGCAGAACGAATTTTTCTCCCAGGCTGAGAACCTCTCAGCTAAAAAGAGGCAGTCCCCCTGGGTATTTATCACAGGGAACTGCAGCATAACTATTTAAAATTTGTAAAATCGGAACCTTAAACAAAAACATACACACATTTATTAATGAACTCCAAGGAGTGTGTATTTTGCTGTCAGACTTGCACATGAAAAGATTCCCTGAAAGATATCTGTGAAAAGATAGGTAAGTTACCACCTATATTTAATTGGATAAGCAGAGAGCACAAAGCTACATGAATACTTGAAGTACATTTGAATGCTGCATATTTGATGCAAAGTGGAGAATGGAATGCTCCCCAGTGGAACGGTCTCTTGGGATGCTCTTATTTCAAGTCGAATCTCAGTGTGGATCACTTAAAAAATCAGTTCTGTAAAAAAAAGTTCAAGTTTGTGCATCTACATTTACTGTACTAATATTATTAAAAATTAATAAGGCATATAACTCACTATGCTGTTCTTGAGCTGTCTTTTTGCTCAGTCTTATAACCACCCCTCATCTGTGCCTTGTTTTCTGTACAGACTGTGGTACCAGGTATTGATTGGCTATGATTAACATGATTAAAGAAGTATAACCTCTGTAACTGTGCCAAAATGAAAAATGTCTCACATTTATGAACATAAATAATTGAGTCTTTTAATATACTGTTGATTATAAGTGATTGTCTAATTGGATAATTTTGAATAAATATATGAATATGAGTTGGGCCCTAGGCAGAGCAAACAGCTAGCCACAGTATGTATTAATTTATTACCAGAATTTAAGCTTCAATTACCTATAAAAATGCCTTTAAGGAGCCAAATGCTCACTTACAAACCATTATCCTTTGTTTCCGCTTTTCTTACCCAGAGCATAACTAGTTTCAAATGTATTGCAATAGATGCTCAAAACAGCAACTAAGAGTGATGTCCTCCAGAGTACTAGTGCTGGCAGAGTACTACTATATCCATTAGCGTGCCAGTCATTGCCATGCTGATCTTTTACACAGAACGTATTTAACTTTGCAGTCTGATTCACTTTCTGCTACACTTTTATGGAAAGACATACTGTAATTTATTGATATCTCATGTGTCATGCCAAGAATTAACAACAATGTGATGCCTGGACAGCTCATGGAGGTATACTGAACACTAACACACTAGAGGGCCACGTCAGGATTGCAAGACATTGTGACTGGAACATTTCCAGGTGGTGAAAATCCAAAATAATTGGTTTTTAAGGGAGGGACACATGGAGGAGGTGGGGGAGGGATTTCTACTTCTGCTTTTTCACATAATTATTTGTAAATTGCTTTAACTAAGTCACCTGAAGGATATCAATTCAAGGTAGATAATGAATTGAAAGTATTTAATTAATTAGTAGCTCCATTAAATATGCTATCCATTAGGTATTTTTAATATCCTTTCACTTACTCAGATGTAAATGAAGAGTAATTCTGTAAATGAAAAGTGATTCTATTGACAGTAGTGGAGTCAAATTGGTAGAGGTAAAGCAGCAAGCTCCAGATTAAGACATTGCTCTTTCACAGCTATTATTTAATAAAATTTCATAACAAATGTCATCCCAAATGGCATGTCTGCACCCTTTATGAAGTCAGTTACATTTATCGGCATAAGAAAAAGAATACGTTTTCCTTAAAAGTTTTATGATAATAGATTATACTTACTATGGTGCATTGCCTTCAATCCCATAATTATTGATATTGGTTGCTGCTGTAATCCCACATATAATGAAAGGAACTCCACCACTAATCAGGTAAAATCTGTTGAGAGATAATAACTGATATTTTAATTTGCCTGACTTGTAGTCGAATACTGCTATTTAAATAATTGTACCTTCTTGAAGTATTTTGAGTATGCAATGTTGCTGAAACATTAAACATGTCCCTAAAACCAAAAAAGCAAAGAATGAAGTATTGCCACAATAAACACTGTACTTCATGAAGCAAACAGCAGAAAGCTTAATATTTAATATTTATAGGGACCCACTTTTAACAATCTCTTGACTTATGTCTTTAGTAAAGGTAGTTACTATTGCAGTCATATGAATGACTTTCATTCTTGTCTAATGAAAGAACCTACATCCCAAAGAAAGTTATTCCACTCACCTAGCTATTTATATTTAATAGTTATTAAATATGTAAGCATTATATTAAATATTAAAAATATTCAGACAAAGCAGCTGTATTCACTTTAACCTGAAAATGTTCCCAAGGAAATTCAGTGAAATCACAGAAACATTTTCCTAACTCCTGGATGACAAAAGAAATGAAGTTCAATTAGGCAAAGAGAAAAGGGGCAGTCCGCTTGGCAAAATGTTTTTTTTCTGCACAGAGGAGCAATCTGGGGAAATCAGGAGGATTAAATATCCCTTTGCATATACCACACTTTTCTTCACTCATTCTATACCTAGCCTTGCAAATGCATTAAAATGTGAGGGCCTCTAAGACTTCAGCAAGACCTCATAAATATCCAAGAGTGTTAACCTAAGTGTTAATCTTGCTGTTAGGACTTGTACGCTAAGACTGAAAGCACATAGTTTCACACCCCTTTAACTGGTTAAATGCCATTGAACTACTTGGAAGCAGCAGTCATTCCAATGTATGATCATTAGGCTACATTAAAGTCCTAGGGGATGTCTCACTGAAGTTGGCATCCTGCATGCCTATAGTCCAAATTCAGCAAAATAAACCATCATCACATTTTCCATTTATATAAACAAAACACAAAATTATGCATGGAGCACAGCACTTCCACCGCTGCGGCCTCTGAGGTGGAGAGCACCGGCCCCGTTATATGTGAGGCAACAGCTGGAAGGAATGCTGCTCAGTGACCAAAAGGAAAATGTTCCACCACACCTAGAAGCTCAGCTGGTTCTCTGAACATCCTGACTCATTTCCAGGTTTAACCAATGCTCTCCTGTCAGTAGACAAAATTAGTTTCTTTTCAAGCCACTCTTCTGGTGCGGGAAACAGTGTGCAGGGATACAGATGCTTCCCAATCACTGCTATTATGTTGTCCATCAGGACTAAGAGGAACCTGATAATGTGTGGGACACATTCTGACCAGAATCTGGCCACTAGTTTTCTATAATGTGTTATAAATATTGGGAAATTTCACAGCTATTGCAAGGCAGGATTTTTACAGAAACAAAGTTATAGTAAGATTAAATAAAGCAGCATTTAAATCAAATCCAGAATTAGTGTTAGAATTTCTTAACCTCTTTTCGCCACCTCCTTCCAAAGCAGAATTAGAGGCCCAGGCCTTGGAAAATTTCATGTTAACATTTACAGTCAATCTTTGTCTTAATGGTCTAAGTTCTAAACAGAGCAGAGAAAATCATCCTCCACATTCATCAAAAAGCCCTTCAGATTTTATAACTTCAAAGTCATTAAGTATATATTTTTTCTTCAAACTTGGCTTATTCTGTAGAGCCTAACAAATTCCAATGAATAAGCTGCCTCCTTACAAAATCCATTCATTCACTGCAGTTTAATGATTGTACATATCTTTTGACTTGAGCGTATTGAATAAGCTAGTTTAATAGCTTATTATTATTTTTAACAAAGACATATTCAATGACATTTTTGAAATTCAGAAAATGGCTAGGGTAAGCAATGAGGCATAGAAAAGTTAATCCCAATTTATCTAAGAAATAGTAAGGAGCAGAAAAATAGGAATACAGAAGCAAGCATAGGAAACTGCACTTCAAACTCATCTGAAGTGATTACACCATAGAATTTACCTACAATGCAACCTATAATTTAATTTTTTGCAGTGCTGCCACTTTTTCCAGATTGGGTACATACATTAAATCATATCCTTATCTGAAGTCTCAGACAAGCCAGTATTTGGGTGTTAGATAATCTACTTCATATCTCACACTTTTCACACTTTCAGCAGGCTGCTGAACACTACAACAGTAGCATCAGATGTTCTGGAAGCACTTAGCTACACAGTGCTTCAGAAATGTGGCAAAATCTAGCCAAATTCCTGTCCTGGCTCATTGCTAAGAGAAAAAATACATTCTAGAAATGACGGAAGGTGAAGTCAAATGGTTTCAGTGTACCTGAGGTGCACTGTACCGATATCCAGCACAGCACACTGCCTGCCCTGACTCACTGGAAGAAAAAAAAGAAGTAAAATAGCAAATAGAAATGACAGTGTGTACAAATAATTCTTCATTGGTGGATTCGGGATTCTTGAGGCATGAAGGGAAAAGAAGGCTGCCAAATAGAAGAAAAGTCAGCAAAAGAGGAATGGGATTAAAACAGAATGAGCAGAAAATATAATCAAAGAAATGGAAGTTAAATCGTAAGAGCAGGAGTGCATATTCTTGCCCATATATTTGTGGATACCTTAAAAAGTACATAAAGAAGAAGAGACCACACTGGAAAGTCACCAAAGAGAAGAAACATTGTTCAAGAAGATCCATATACATGTTAGTTGTGAAGAAGTACACTTAAAATGAAGAAATTTAGACCAGTCTTTCCAAACATTAGTTTCCATGCAATCATTGGTTTTTATCAATTTCTTCTTTTTTCACCCAGATGAGATGATTAGGACAAATAATTTTGAAGAAAAAGCTGAAGTAGAAGTGATAGGGCATGAATAAAAAGAGAAGAAAATGCAGCTAATAAATAGCTATGCTTCACACCTCTAGAAAACCTTTTATCTAAGAGAATCAAAGTGCTTCATATCATTAATTAATTTAGCCTTACAGCCCCCTGTGTGGTCGATAAACATTATTATCCCTGTTGTACAGATGAGAAAACAAGCAAGGAGAGATTAAGTGTTCAAGGTCATGCAGAAAATCTGTTTCAGAACCAGGCTTCTTAATTCCCATCCTACGTTTAAACACAAGGCATCTCTCTGTTACTGTAAATGAAGGGATGGGCAAATCATGGCATCCAGGAGTTTGTCTCCAAGCCCAAGAAACACGATTGCCTCTCTGTGAGTTCAAGCAGGAGCAAGAAGAATATAATCTTATCTGAAGGATCCCCTGGTTAGTGTGGTTCCCTCCCAGTATTCACTAAGCCTTGCCAATGACTATCTGCCTGTTACTCCCTACAAAGCCTGACTTGTGGAGGAGGAGCCTGTGTGCGCTGTTCCCTGTGCAGCCCTAATGCTAACATCCACTGGTATTTCGTATAGCACTGCCTGGGCATGTACACAGAGCAGATTTTCCAGACCAGTTAAACTGGTCTGAGTATAAGGGTTGTAACTGGAGAGATGCTGGGTTCTGCTGCTTTTGCTGCTGCAGCCAGCTTTCGGTGTCTTTCAGCCATACAAGAGCAAAAGTAAGGGGCGATGCTCCTGTCCAGTAATGCTCATTCACAGAACAATATAATAAAGCAGTACCGGAAGGATGAACCTTGTAGATTGAGCAAGTACCTGCTTTCCAATCATCCCCCCCCAAGTATATTTTCTTATTTTGAAAATAATGATCAATCTTCTTCCTACACTGTTTGCCTAACATACATATACTACTTCCTCTCATGACCATCTTTTGGTTTTAAAGCTTTAAAGGTCTATATCCTTTGGTTCAGTAACCAGCTTTTGTCTTCCAATTACCTTTCCTACTTCTGAGTTAATTTTTAATTTTTCTCATTAAGCCAGTGGACTGTCTGCTCTTCACAAAAGAACATGCAGTAACTCAGGATCCAGAGCCAATTTCATCTACTTGTGTTAACTCTTCTACCATTCAAGAACGCAAACAGTGATACTCAGGCTACCAGTAATGAAACTCTGTAGGCAGCAGTAAGAAGACAGAAGAACCCTGCTCTGACAGATGTGACTGTTATGATGGAGCCAGCTAACGCAGAGGGTTTGGCTGTAGTCAAGATAGCCACGCATGCAAATCTTTAAAGAGTGGGAAACCACAGGGAGGAAATTAAAACTTTTTTCAACTAAAATTTTATCTTGACAAGCAGTTAATTTATATAATATTTTAAAATTGTTTTACAGGGAAAACTGTAAACTATCTGTGGGATGATTTGGGGCTTTGAAGCAATTGCCAAGCTGTTGCTTCAATAGCCCTTGGTAAGAGTTTTTAAAATTTGTACATTGTTGTTGCTGGCCACCCAGGGATGTCCTAATGATTCCTAGCAGGCTTTCACATCAGCATACCTTTATTTACTGAAGCTCATTCTATCACATCTTCACTAATATTGTTATCCAAGCTAATTAGATTAAAGCTAGCCTGGTAGGCCTCAGCATGCTGCACTCGCACCTCTTAGCTGCAGCGTAGGCAACACCTACGGCCTGATAACTGTATGCAGACACACTCAAATGATGTGCAGTAATTTGCGGAGGGAGGAATCATACTCATTGAACGTTAGAGGGAACCCCTAAGTTCCTGCTGCAGCTGCCTGAGACCAGCAAGTACAATATTTTTTATTACATGCACTGACATAAACACAAAAAAACCCCAACAGAGCAGCAGACACTGCTTGAGGTGATGTCCCTCTGTTGACATCATGGCTTACTGTTTTCCAGCTTCCTTTCAGCAAGAACTCCTCTTGTAAGGCAAACCCTACCACAAAATACTGGGAGCTACATAGCCAATCTGATAGAAACAGGATAATGTCAGCAAGAATGACGGCAATAGCCTGCAGACAGCATCCATTCTGCTAACTTAACATACAGAATAGTCTCTAAGTTTATTTCCACAAATATTACTCAGTAAGTCAGCAAGTTAAAGGAGAGTTCTACCCAGTGATGAATTTCTTGCTTGAGTGTCTGGCTATTCTCTAGCCCAAAA